CGCGCCCGCGCCGCAGCAGCCTCGGCCTTCTCGAGCTTGCCCTGAGCTCGCTGCACGAAGCTGCGCTGGCGGTCGCAGCGGACGCCGGGGGCGCGGGCGAGGATGATCATGCTGAGCTGCACGGCGTACTCCTCCTCCTGCGGCCGCCGCTGCTCGGGGCTCATGCCGAGCTCTATGGCGGCCTGCAGCCTCTTGCCCGTGGCGGCGGCCATCTGGCGCAGCGAGCGGGCCACGAGCCCGCGCTCGTCCGACGGCGGCTCGACCCAGGCTGGATGGGCCCTCGCGTCCAGCGGTAGGGCGGGCAAGATGCCGAGCGCGGGGCTGCGGCCATCGTCCTCGCCCTCCGAGGCGTCGGACTCGCCTTCAGCGAGACGCCTCCGTCGGCTCTCGCCGTCGGCAGAGCGGCGGCGGCGGCGCGAGGCCGACCGCTGGCGCGGCTCGCCGCCGTCGTCCTCCGCTCCCTCGTCCTCGAAGCGGACGCGCGAGGCCGATCGCGGCCGCGGCTCGGCCTCTGGCTGGCGAGCTTCGCCCTGGCTGCCGCGGCGCCTGCGCCTCGAGGCAAACCGAGGCTGGCGGCCGTCGCCGCGCGGGCCCGCGCGCGGGCGCGTCGCGCCTCCTCCCCCTCCGTGCACAGGCCCGTGCGCAGGGAGGGGGCAGCAGGTGCGGCACAGGGCGTCGGTGGGGGCATTGAGCCCGCCGCACGCCGAGCACCACCAGCCAGGCGGCGGGGGCGGGACGTGCCACGGCGGCGTCGCCTGGCTCGGGCCTCCCGTAGCCGCAGGGCGCCCTTTGCCGCCTGCGCCAGCGCGCCCCCCACCGGAGGGCCCAGCACCCTTGCCTCCGCCAGCGCCGCCCTTGCCGTACATGCTGGCGTCGGGCGAGGCGGCGCTGTGATGCGCGCGCAGGCGCGGGCTGGCGTCGGCCAGCGGCCTCGGGTCGCGGCCAGCGACCCCGAGGCGAGCCCGCGCGTCTGCGAGCCGCACCAGCACGCGAGCCTGGCCTCGCAGCCAGCGGGCCCGGCGGTGCCAGGCTGGGTTGGCGCGCGCGCGGCGCCGCCCGAGGGGCGTGGCGCCCGATGGGGGAGGCGCTGCCCGCAGCGCAGGGCGCGGCGAGGCGGCCCACGGCGCGCCAGGCAGGCGCGACGGCCTGCGGGAGCCCGCGGCGCGGGCGGGGCACGGCCGGCCCGCAGCGCGCCAGGCGTGCGCGGCGGCCCGCGCGTATGGCAGCTGCCCGGCGGCGGTCGAGGCTCGCCGGTGTCTGACACCTGCTCCCAAAGCCTCGAGCCGGGGCGGCAGCTTGGGAGGGAGGGAGGGAGGGAGGGAGGGAGAGAGGGAGGGAGGGGGGGAGGGAGGGAGGGAGGGGAGGGAGGGAGGGAGGGAGGGAGGGAGGGAGGAGGAGGAGGAGGGAGGAGGAGGAGGAGGAGGAGGAGGAGGAGGAGGAGGAGGAGGAGGAGGAGGAGGAGGGAGGGCCGCCGGTCCGGATCACGCTGCCGGTGGAGTCGCGCCACGCGCGGAGAGGGCCAGCACGGCCGGGCGCGCGCAGGGCGCGGGGGCGGCGGCCGCGGCTCTCCAAGAGGGGCGCCAGGGGGGGGGCCCGCCGCCAGGGCTTGCGGCTCGAGGGTGGGGATCTGCGAGGCGCCCTGTCTCGCGTGACATGGCCAACTCGACTCACACACCTGCTCCGCCCCTTCCCTCTCCTCGTCCTGCCGAATCCGCCGACAATGTCGGCGTGCGAGAGACGTGTTTCCGTTCGAGTCGTCGCCACCGTCGCCGTCGCCGTCGCCGTCGTCGTCGTCGTCGCCGTCACCGTCGCCGACGCTCCCCGCCGTGACGCTTTTCCGTTTCAGTCGTCGTCGTCGTCGCCGCCGTCGTCGTCGTCGTCGTCGCCGCCGCCGCCTCCGCCGACGCCGCTCCCGCCCTTTCCCTGGGCCCTACTCCTCGAGCGTTCCAGCCAGGGGGCAGTCGAGCATCGTCGGAATCGAGCCGAAGGCAGGCCCCATTCTTGCTCCCTCCCCCGCTGGGAAGGGCTCCCCGGGTCCCTGGGGGATGGTCCCCGAGGGGGCCCTGGGGAGAAGCGGGGGAAGCTCCCAGGAACCGCGCGCCCCCTCCCCATCCCTCGGGGCCCTGGCCCCCGCGCAGGGAGGTCCTGCACCCCGGGGCCGATCCACACCTGCGGACAGCGGGGCTCCCCCCGTAGAGGCCTCCTAGATGGGGTCCGCGTGAGGTCGAGGGATCGCGCCGCATCGCCAATGCATCGCCGATGTATCGGCGATGCGTCGCCGATGCGTCAGCGACGTCGGCGATGCATCGCATCGGCGACGTCGGCGTGGGAAAATCGGGCTCCACATCGAGCCGCATCGTCGATGTATCGGCGATGCATCGGCGATGCGGGGCGATCCTCCGACCCCATCTGGGAGGCCTAGACCCCTTCCGCTCCCGGGGCACGGTCTCCCGTGTCGACAGGAAACAATGCCCAGGGACAGGGGGACAGGGGGATCCCTCCCCCCCTGGCCGCACCCCCACTCTTGCGGGGGGGAGCACCTCGAAGCTTCCCCCATTCAATCTTGCCTCTCAGACGCCTCGAGCTCACGTGTACCGCGGCTTACTCCAAGAGGGCCCTGAGACAGCCCAGGATCACGCCAAGACGGCCAAAGATGCCCTCAAGACGGCCTCAGAAACACCCACGACGCCACAAGAGAGCTCATGAGAGCTGCAAGGGGAGCCCCAGGAAGGCCCAAAGAGGCGAACATAATATGGTTTCGCTTAGTTTTTATATATTGTTTCGCGTTCTCGCGTTTTCAGGTTCCCGACGCTCCAAGGCGTCCCAGGAAGCCCCAAAAATCGCACCAAGAGCCCAAGAGGCTACCGAAAGCGCCCCGAAACTGCCCAAGACGGCCCCATGACGGGCCAAGACGGCCCCAAGGCAGCCAAGAGGGCCCCAGGAAGGAAGAAGAGGGCCCCAAGAGGGCCCCAAGAGGCTCCCGAAAGCGGGACGCACATGTGGGAACACGCGCAGACGTTTCGAGCCTTCCGCCCCAAGAGGCCCCCAAGAGACCCAAAGAGGCGCCCAAGGGGCCCCCAAGCGGCCACAACGAGCCCAAGAGAGCCCCAAGCGCACTCCCAAGAGCACTCCCGAGAGCACCCCAAGAAGGCAGAAACACTAATGTCCCTTACGTTCGGGGAGGTGCTTCGCCGTCGCCGTCGCCGTCGCCGTCGCCGTCGTCGTCGTCGCCGTCGCCGTCGCCGTCGCCGTCGTCGTCGTCATCGTCCTCGCCGTCGTCATCGTCGTCGTCGTCGTCGTCCTTCAGGGTCGGCGGCACCAGCTGTAAGGCCTTTGTGATAACTAGAGTTGGTGCCCCTTCGACTCAGAATAACCCATGCCCTCAGCTGTATCGCCACACTGTCACACTCACTCTAACATTGCCTAATGGGCTGCTCGCCTGCAAGCTACCTCTTGTTGGGACGCAGTAAACCATTCCCCAAGCAACTGTGCTGACTGAGGCGCTGTTGTGAAAGAAGCCAGATCCGGCCGAGGGACCCCCGCACAGACACATCCTCAACATTCTGAAGTGGTCTGGGCCGTTTCACCTGAGACATCCTCACAACTATCGCTTCTGCGTTGTCCTGGATTGGGCGTTTCGCCCGAGACATCCTCGCAACCCTGGGCTTTGAGATGACGCGCGCGAGGTGGTCCGGCGCATTTCGCCTGAGGCATTCTCGCAACTCTGGGCTCCGAGATGCCGCGCGCGAGGTGGTCTGGCGCGTTTGCAATGCCGCGCGCGAGGTGGGCAGGCGCGCTATGCCTGAGACATCCTCGCGACTATGGTCTCCAAGACGCCGCGCGAGAGGTGGTCTGGCGCGTTTCGCCTGAGAGATCCTCGCAGCTCTGGGCTCCAAAAATTTTCCGCGCGCGAGATGGTCAAACGCATGTCGCCTGAGACATGCTCGCAACTCTAGGCTCCGAGATGCTGCGCGAGAGGTTATCTGGCGTCTAGCCTGAGACATCCTCGCAACTCTGGGCTTGCGAGATACCGCTCGCGAAGCCGTCGGGCCCCGTCCGCCGGAGATATCGTCGAAACTCTGGGCCCCTGGGCTCCGAAATTCCGCGCGAGAGGTGGACAGGCGCGTTACGCCTGAGAATTATTGGCTTCATGACGCCGCGCGAGAGGTGGTCCGGCGCGTTTCGCCTGGGACATCTTCGCAACTCTGGGTTCCAAGATGCCGCGCGCGAGGTGGTCCAGCGCGTGTCGCCTGAGCGCCCGAGGGATGCTCGCAAATCTGAACTCCAAGACGCCGCGCAAGAAGTTGTCTGGCGCGTTTCGCCCGAAACATCCTCGCAACTGTGGGCTTCCGAGATACCGCTCGCGAGGTGGTCTGGCCCGTTTCGCGGGCGATATCCTCGGAACTCTTGGGCTCCAAGATGCCGCGCGAGAGATGGACAAGCGCGTGTCGCCTGAGACATCCGCGCAACTCTGGGCTCAGAGATGCTGCGCGCGGTGGTCCCGCGCGTTCCGCCTGCGACATCCTCGCCACTCTGGACTTTGAGATGCCGCGCGCGAGGTGGTCTGGCGCGTGTCGCCCGAGACATCCTCGCAACCCTGGGCTTTGAGATGCCGCGCGAGAGGTGGTCCGGCGCGTTTCACCCGAGACATCCTCGCAACTCTGACCTTCCAGACGGGCCAGAGCCCACTATCAGAGCCTCTGGCAGGGGAGACTTCACAGAATCTCGCGGCCGGCTGGCGGGCGGTGGAGAAGAAGTGGGCGGCCTTCATCCCGAAGGACAGCAGTGCACCAGAATGTGGACCAGGGGCGCCCTCCCACGCAAACAAAACAAATCGCAAAAAAACAGCAAAGGAGAAACTTGTCCAGCGCCTCCGCCGCGCTGGGATCGTAGGTATGGATCGATCGGCTGCCCAGGGAGGCTCCCCTGAAGGCCGCGAGGCCCCGCGGGAGACACGCCGCCGAGGCACCCCTATCGCAGGGCGAGTCTAAGATCACGACAGTGCACACCCAGCCCTGTCCAGCAGCCTTCAGGGGAAGCGACCCCCGTCCCTCCTCGCCCTCTCTGCCTCCCCGTTCCCCTCCTCCCGTACATGGACAATATATTCGAACCCTTACACATTCGAGGGAGACTCTAACTCACCCCCGCGCCCCCGACATCAATGTTGATCTCAGTAAAGGCGGTGCTTTGGGATTCGAATATTTCTTTCCACTCACGCCCCCCCGTCGCCACGCCATCAATATTAATTTCGGGGGGTCTGGGGGGCATCTTGGGCCACAGGGTTCGAATAGAATGTCCATGTACTGTCCCCCCCCCTCCTCCTCCTGCTCGTCATGGTCGTCATCGCCACCGTCCTGCCCTGCAGAGCAAGGCTCGCGGCGCGCGGTGCCAGAGGAGCCCCGGCCCAACGACAGGCGCACAGGAAGCACGGAGCCTCCCGGGAGCACGGCCTTCGGGAGCCGCTCCCTGTGCTAGGGGGCCACATGCGAACCCTACCCCTACCCCCAGGCCCCTGGAGGCCAGAACTGATCAAAGACGTCCGCCACGATGCCTTGCTCCGCGACGCAAAGAATCCCGGCGCCACCCCGCAAAACCGCCTCCCACAGGGGGCCCAAAAATATACACCACCACCACCTGCCTCCCCCCTGCCTCTCGCTGGAAAGAGGAGCGAGGAGGAATCGACGTGGTGGTGGTGGTGGTCTATATTCTTGGGGCCCCCATCCAAAGAACCCGTCCAGGACTGCCCCGAACCCTGAGATCCGATGTCGTGATTTTTACCTAACAGCGAAGACTGATAGGTTTCTAATAGGGTCAAACGAGAACATCATGACGCCCCAGGGGGGTCTGGGCGCGATCCAAGGGAGGGTGCCGGTGATTTTTTTTACCAACAGTTACACACTTCGTGGTCTTCGAGGTCTCAGAACTCCATTCCTGGGCCACATTTTGAATGCCCGGAGCCAACTGTAGGCCACTTCGTGGTCTTCGAGTTCCCAGAACTCCATTCCCGGGCCACATTTTTGAATGCCCGGAGCCAACTGTAGGCCACTTCGTGCTCTTCGAGTTCCCAGAACTCCATTCCTGGGCATGATTTTGAATGCCCGGAGCCAACTGTAGGCCACTTCGTGTTCTTCGAGCTGAGGCTCCAGGCTGAGAAGGCAGGCTGGACAGGCTGATGCTGAGGCAGGCTGAGGCTGAGGCTGAGGCTGATGCAGGCTGAGGCTGAGGCAGGCTGAGGCTGAGGCCGAGGCTGAAGGCAGACTGAGGCTGAGGCTGAAGCAGGCTGAGGCTGAGGCTGAGGCTGAGGCAGGCTGAGGCTGAGGCTGAGGCAGGCTGATGCTGAGGCAGGCTGAGGCTGAGGCTGAGGCTGATGCAGGCTGAGGCTGAGGCAGGCTGAGGCTGAGGCCGAGGCTGAAGGCAGACTGAGGCTGAGGCTGAAGCAGGCTGAGGCTGAGGCTGAGGCAGGCTGAGGCTGAGGCAGGCTGATGCTGAGGCAGGCTGAGGCTGAGGCTGAGGCTGATGCAGGCTGAGGCTGAGGCAGGCTGAGGCTGAGGCCGAGGCTGAAGGCAGACTGAGGCTGAGGCTGAAGCAGGCTGAGGCTGAGGCTGAGGCAGGCTGAGGCTGAGGCTGAGGCAGGCTGATGCTGAGGCAGGCTGAGGCTGAGGCTGAGGCTGATGCAGGCTGAGGCAGGCTGAGGCTGAGGCCGAGGCTGAAGGCAGACTGAGGCTGAGGCTGAAGCAGACTGAGGCTGAGGCTGAGGCAGGCTGAGGCTGAGGCTGAGGCAGGCTGATGCTGAGGCAGGCTGAGGCTGAGGCTGAGGCTGATGCAGGCTGAGGCTGAGGCAGGCTGAGGCTGAGGCGAGGCTGAAGGCAGACTGAGGCTGAGGCTGAAGAGGCTGAGGCTGAGGCTGAGGCAGGCTGAGGCTGAGGCTGAGGCTGAGGCTGAGGCCGAGGCAGACTGAGGCTGAGGCTGAAGCAGGCTGAGGCAGAGGCAGGCTGAGGCTGAGGCTGAGGCTGAGGCTGAGGCCGCAGGCTGAGGCTGCAGGCAGACTGGGCTGAGGCGCAGGCTGAGCTGAGGCAGGCTGAGGCTGAGGCTGCGGTGAGGCTGAAGGCTGAGGCTGAGGCTGAGGCTGAGGCTGAGGCTGAGGCCGAGGCCCTGCAGCAGACTGAGGCTGAGGAGGAGGCTGAGCTGATGGCTGAGGCTGAGGCTGAGGCTGAGGCTGAGGCAGGCTGATGCGGAGGGCTGAGGCAGGTGAGGCTGAGGCAGCTGATGCAGGGTGAGGCTGAGGCAGGCTGAGGCTGAGGCCGAGGCTGCAGGCAGACTGAGGCTGAGGCTGAAAGCAGGGCTGAGGCTGAGGCTGAGGCAGGCTGAGGCTGAGGCTGAGGCAGGCTGAGGCTGAGGCTGTGACTGCGACTGCCGTTGCCACTGCGACTGCCATCGCGAATGCGACTACGACTGCGAGAACAGCAGAATTCTACAACAGGATTCTCATCTGAATCTTAAGGGGAATGCTTCCAGATATGCTCCTACACATCGCTGTTAGGTTGCTTTGCCGGGATAATTGTCAATACGCGGTCCCTGGAAGTCTCGACCCATTCCCCAGGACCGGTTTTTCATCCCGAGTCACTTTTTGACGGTCCCGAGGCCCGGCGAGGGCCCCTGGGGGTCGAAATTTGCGAAAAACCTCCGTCTTGATTTGTTCACTGCGTTGGATCTCTGGGAAGAGCACTCCGACGAGGATCCGGCCGTGGCGGCCAGAGGCGCCCCAGGGCGCCCCCCCCGGGAGCGCGCGGGCGCCCGACGGCCCCGCGCCTCGACCCTCGACGCCTGGCAGCGCCTGGGGCGGCCGCGCCCGTACAGCCCGGCACCGGCCAGCAGCAGCAGCGGTCGGGCACCGGGCGGTCGGGGCGGCACGGGGCGGTCGGGCACCGGGCGGTCGGGACGGCACCGGCGGCACGTGCCAGCAGCAGCAGCAGCAGCAGCGGCGGCGGCACCGGGCCCAGAGATCCAACGCATTGGACAAATCGGGACTCGAGGGGCCCAGGGCCCAGAGATCCAACGCATTGAAAAAATCAAGACGGAGGTTTTTCGTGTTTTTCGGCCTCGAGGGGCCCTCGCCGGGCCCCGGGACCGTCAAAAAACGACTCGGGATGAAAAACTGATCCTGGGGAGTGGGTCGAGACTTCCAGGGACCGCGCATTGAAAAAATCACGACATCGGATCTCTGGGCACTCTGGGGGGAGGGGCGCGAACACTGATAAATAACTTGGTTTTCGAATACCCTCCTCGCTCAGGCGGGGCCTCCCTGGAGGAGTGGGAGGGGCACAGAGCCTGGTACATAACAGATGGTCACTCCAGTCCTGGGCCGGTCGGGCCCTGCAGGATCCTGCAGGACCCTGCAGGATCCTGCAGGCTCCTGCGCCCAAGCCGGGGTTCATGCGCCCCTGGCCCTGCAGGATCCTGCAAGATCCGGCGCTCCTAGCCGACCCCTGTTTGCATCGACCCCCGTCTCGTGAGCCCCGAGGTGGAGACATCCGGTGGCGCCCGGCGCCTGCTGACCACGGCCGCCCGCCGCGGGCTCCAGCGCCGCCACGGCCGCGGCGGCCTCGGCGCACGAGCGGAGCTGCGCTGTCGCGGCAGCGTCCTGCGGAGGGCCCAGTGCGCTCCGTGCTCTTGCTCGGGTCATGGCCCTCGACCCTCCGGGATCGGGGGGAGGGGAAGGTCGTCGGAGGTTCTCGCGGGGAGGGATCGGGGCGTTTTTGCCTCCGGGGTCCGGGGACCTCCAGGGGTCAGGCGCCAGTCCGCCAATCCGGCGTGTGAGTTTCTGGGGGCGTGGGCTTCGCTCTGCAGGGGGGGGGGGGGGGGGGGGGGGCATTTCTTCCGTCTAATTTCGACCTTTCTCGTTGAACGCAAGGGGGGGGGGGTTCTCTTCAACCGCCCCCTCCCGCTCCATCCAGGGGGGGGGCGGGGTTCTCTTCGCCCCCGCCTCCCGTTCCCTTCTTAATCTTCCCCCATCTTCCCCCCCCCCTTCCTCTCCCCATTCCACTTCGGGGAGGGCCTCCCCCCTCCCTCCCCTCCCCTTTCCCCCCCTCATTGCCCTTCTTCCCCTCCCCTGCTGCAGAGCGAAGCTTGAGCGATCTCGCAAGAAGGGAGAGGGGGGTGGGGGGGGGGGTGCAAGCTTCGCTCTGCAGAACCCCCCCCTCTCTTCGCTCTGCAGCCTCCCCCCTCCTCCCCCCCTCTCAATTTCCGCCCCCCCATTCTCTCCTTACTCTACTTCGGGGAGGCTCCCCGGCCCCCCCCCCCAACGCCGGACCCCTTCCCCGGGGCCGGCACACCAGAGGCCGCCCCCCGGGGGGCCCTCCCCGAACGCCGGACCCCTTCCCCGGGGCCGGCACCAAAGGGCCTGGGTGCCGGCCAGCAGGCCCCCCCCGGTGCCGGCACCCCCCCCGGCGCCGGCCGCCACCCCCCCTCGGTGCCGCCCCCCCCCCACCTTGAGACTCCAAGGTCGATCTATAGTGCGGGGTCGAACTATAGATCGACCTGGCACTTTCCTTGGGTCGCACTATAGTCCAACCCATGATTTTTGGCCAGGTCGTACTTTTCTTCGCTCGCGCATTGTTAAGGATCCCCTGAGTGAGGGGGCATGCGTCCCCTGAGCGAGGGGTATCGGCTGCATCACATTGCGCGCATGTTACAACATCCCGCAGCTGCGAAGGCTCGAGGGCACATAGCGCTACTCTTGCTTGCGCGCACTGCGCGGGGGGTGGGCAATGGTCAAGGGCAAGACGGAGGTGAAGATACGGGCTTCTTCTGTGACTGAGGAACAGTTGAAGCCGCTCGTGAAACAGCACATTGATCTCATCGAAAAATGCCAACTGCAAGGGGGCATAGATGACTTCATGAAGAACAACATGCCGTTTCTCTTGCCGCTTGCGCAGCTCACCACGCGCGTCAAATGGAAGAACCTCCAGGACGTCGTGTTGAAGCAGAAGCCGAACATGCACCAGGAAGAGTGTAGGCGTTTCTGCCAGGAGGTGGCCAACGCTTTCAGCCATGTTTGCAACAAGTTCTACATCGCCAAGACGGGGGGGAAGCTGGAGGCGCACGCAAAAATGCTTGGGGTGGCAATGGGGCTGCAGCCTGGCAGGGCAAGCCCAAGCACAGGAGAGAGCAAAAAACGCGCCGACAGCAGCTCCGACATAGAGATGAACCCTCCAAAATCTTCCGCGGCCGCCGCGTCGTCCAGCGCAGATGGGGGCAGCAGGCGCAAAGTCATCAAGAACGCCTTCGGCATCAGCCCGCCTCCGAAACCGGCAGGGAAGAAACAGAAGGTTGCCACGTGGAGCCCGATGGTGGTGTTCTCGTCGCAGGAGGACGTCGAGCTCGCTGACCCGCCCGCGGCCCCGAGGCAAAAAAAAGGCCCCGCGCGGACCAGGCGGGAGGCAGACCCTCGAAAGGGGGGAGGGACGACAAAGACAAGGACAAGGACACGGAGAAGGACAAGGGCAACGGCAAGCGCCCGAAGGCGACCTCTAAGAGGGGCTAGGACCGCTTCTCCATCCTCCTGGTCACTCTTCCTCCTGCTCCTGCTTGTCGCCCGCCCTCCTCCTTGTCCATCTCCCTCCTGCTTCTGCTCTTCCTCCTTGTCAATCTTCCTCCTGCACCCCCATCCGCCCCAGGACGGCGCGCCCTGAGCCGCGGGGCGACCGCGTCGGCGACGGCGCCGACATCCATATACAAGAGCGCGGCCTCTCGCGCCAGAATAGAGGCGGTACGGGTTAAGGGGGCTCTGCTTGACTGCGGCCCCTTCATTGCAGGGGCGCGCGCGGCTGCCCCTGGCAGAGGGGGCGGGCGATCACGAAACCGATTATCTTAAGGGGAAATTCTCTTTGGAGAATTCTCTTAAGAGAATTCTCTTAAGAGAATTCTCTTAAGAGAATTATCTTAAGAGTTCTCTTAAGAGAATTGTGTGGATGTCTCAGGCAAAACCAACAATTCTCTTAAGAGAATTCTCTTAAGAGAATTCTCTTAAGAGAATTCTCTTAAGATAATCTCTCTCATAAAGGTCGCTTGCAGTGCACCCCCCCTCGCTGCATGGGGGCCAGACGAGTCCCGCTGAGGGGCGAAACGCCCTGGCTGAGGGTGGGGGGGGAGGGGGCGGGGCTGAACCGTATCTGACGGGCCCCCTAGGGGGGTTGGGGGGCGCGGTGTTCCTGATTGAGGGGAGCCCCTGAAACATCTTTGACGGGCCCCTTGCGGAGGGGGACCACCGTCCTTTACTGAGGGTGAGCCCCTTTAATGAGGGGGGCAGTGTGAGCAGGGGCAGCAGGGGGGAGCAGTAGCATTGCATCATGGGTGAGTCGTTCGGGCCCCTGTGCTTGCCTGCCGCGCAAAGCAATCCAGAGAGGGGGGCGCCCCTTTTTGAGGGGACGCGCACCCCTTACTGAGGGGGAGGCCCTGACACATCCCCTCCCCCTCCCCGCCTCACCGCTGATGAGGTAGCACCCCTTCTCTTCGAGGGGGAGGAGACGACCGCGTGGGTGCCGAGCCCCTTCGAGGGGAGAGAAACGAACCCCTGGCTGAGGGGAAGGCTCGACGATACTGAAATGTACCACCACACACGCCACACCCACAGCACCACACCACACCCACTCGCACCACTGAAGTGCGCGGGGAAGGCCCCCGACGATCTACTTGCCATTCGCAGGCGTTTCGGCTGCCGCAGGGCATTTCGATTTTGCTGCTGTATCCCAAATTTCAGGGGTCAGTCCCGCGGCAGCCATGCCCGCCCCAGGAGTAGTCCCTCCTCTGCTCCTGCTGGGCACTCTCCTCACACCGTTGTGCAGCATGGCACCGAAGAAGAAGATCGAGGGCCAGGGCGCACCAGCGGCGAAGAAGTCGAAGGCGGCCCCGAAGGGGCACGGGCTCGACAAGCAGGAGGCCGACAAGATGAGGGCGTGGCTCAAGTACCAGTCGGAGAAGAAGGACGGCAGCGGGAAACTACGAGCACAGCAGAATCCGCCAGAGCAGCCCAGGCGCTTTGGAACGGGATGAAGGACCCAGCCGATCGGAAGCGTTTCTTGCAGACCTTCGCGAGTGACAAGGACAAGACACTTGACTGGTTGGCCACCTTCGAAGAGAGATGCACGAATGAAGAGGTGCACGCGCGCTCTGCCAAGAGAGGGTACCGGAATGTATCGCAGGCACTGGCCCTCAAGAACCTCACCATCAAAGACTTTGCGACATCCAGGGAGCCACTGCCTTCGTGCAGGAATGGTGGGAGGAGAACAGCGAAGAGCATGGCACCAAAGAAGAATTCCCCATCAAGGAAGATGCCAAGGACAGGCCTCTGTGGAAGGAGTGGTACTTCGTCGAGCGCAACATGGACGATGACCAGCTGGTGACGAAGGACTCGCGCACCTTCAAGGGGACGTCCAACCTGAAGAACCTGAAGCAACTCGAAGCTGCAGGCATCAGGATGGCCGAGCTCCCGTCGTCCAGCGCTTCGGGGTCGGGTGGGGGCGGCGAGGTGAAGATCGAGAATCCGCACTGGCCAGAGATCGTGAGTAAGAAGGACGAGATCGCGCGCCGTCCTCGGCAGCCGCCCCCTGCCCTTCCATCTCTGGTGCTCTGCCAGACCCCTCCCAGAGGGGGGCCCTCTCCCCCGCCGCGCCCCCGCCGCCCCTCCTGGAGGGGATGGCGATAGAAACTGGTTCGTATCCGTTCTGTCGCGCGTTGTTTGCGTTGAAAAGCATGTCGGCGCATTGCTTGTTTATGATCCCTACCAAGGCAAATGCTGGTCAAGTATCAGAAGGAGCTGAAGTTCCTGAAGCACACGAAGAATCAGTTGCTCGCGAAGGCTGGGGATCAGGATCAGAAGGACCGTCAGAGCTTCCAGAACTGGGCCGATGAGTGCAAGAAGTGCGTGGACAATGCGGACCAGCACGAGACGGAGATGGAGGTTCTGATTGCGAAAATTGAGGGCGCTGATTCTGTCGGCAAGGACACGGACATGTACGATAAGCTGAAGAATGAGGTCCAGGCCGCCTACAACACACACGAGCACATGTTCGAGGGCATTCAGCTCTCGGTCAAGCGCTTCAAGAAGTTCCTCAATTGAGCTGCGGCCCTACATCTACATCTACATATCAGTATTTACATGCATATATGCAGTAGGGTTTGAGATGCCCTGCCTCGCCCGACGACACGCATGCAGCGCTGCCTTTCCGACGCCCATGGGAAAACGAGAACTTGCCGCTTCCTCTGCCAGGGGTGCCCCTTCGTGAGGGGCCGCATGTTTCTGGGTTTGCCAGCAAAGAAGCCCCCCTCATCGCAGGGGCGAATGGGAGGGGGGGGGCGGGGGGGAGGGGGGCTTGGTATCATCGGCAGTAACTGCATTGAGAGGGACTAGCAGGAGGGGAGGGGCATGAAAGGGATTGAAGGAGGGCGCGGAGGAGGGGCGCGGGAAAGGGCAAGGGCCCCTTGCCTCAGCCGCGCATGTCCGTAGCCACTGCAGTGGCTCAAGGCCGCCGCGCTCGCGCCTGTCTCCCGCGGGCCCCGCGGGATGCTTTCCAGGCGGCGGTTGCCTTATGACAGGTTGGGCTTGCCGCCGGAGAGGCGGCTGAGAGCGAACGCGCAGGACCT